CAAATTTATTAAATATTACACAAACATACAAATATTACACTAGTTTATTAATACGAAAAATATTAACAAAAGACATACATATGCACATAAGCTTCACTAAAAAACAGCAAGTGCAAAAAATGCAACTGAGAAACGCAAATAATTTAATATTAAGGCCACCGAGACCTAACTATGGCAGAAAAACCATTGTATGTGAAGGCGCACAGATTTATAATAAACTCCCCAAAGACATTAAAGAATCGCAATCAATAACTACATTTAAGAAACTATTAATAAACCACTATTAGTAATCTCAAATAATATGTCGCTATAGATATATATAGTGTTTTTCTTATAATTGTTTTATTTTTATTTGTAAATATCATAAATAAATAAAATATAAATAAAAATTAATAATAAAAAAAAAAAATAATAATAATAAAAAAAATAAACTCTAATATGCCACATCTAGTACATGATGATCTGATACATCTGTGTACATGTGAACCCAGTACCGCTGAGGCCATCTATGCGCGGTAAGCAACCAATAAATGTTATCATTTATGCGGGTAGTCGCTGCTTAGACTTTGTTACTGCACCGTCTGTATTATATGTACCTTTTTTATAAGTTTATGCTCTTAGTTCTCATGTTAAGTGAATTATTTGTAATTCTTAATGAGAATAAATATCTAAAACCTAAACCTAAACCTAATAATATTGGGTGACGCTTATCATACTGTTTGGAAAACTACTCTGCTACCAAAATGTTAGGGAAGCGTCAGTCATTTACCTTTATGGTTCTGCGGATTTCTTGGGCTTCAGGGTCTCGAAGGTATCTTCGCTAGCTTTCCAGCTTCACAGTAGGTTAACACAGTTCTAATTTATTTTAATTCACAACACAATGCGCGCGCGCGTCAAGGCCGCTGTACAGTCCGTTTGTTACTAGTTAAGGGAGGGGAAGAAAAGACGCGGGAACAAAAACTAACGGAGTCTAATATAATAATCTGTGCTTACGATGGTATAGGGTAGATTTTGAACACATACGAATAACTTGAAGCATTTATGCGCCCACCTACACGTATTAAATTATTTATGTCAATGAATGGTGACAATGATAATATATTCGATTTTGAATTTAATGGATTTCCCTTCGATAACAATTTAAATTCAGTGGGAAAACTTTCTTGTTGGGCTATAAAACATAAAAAGTCAAAAGAATCCTTTAATTCATCAACAGTTATTACACCAGATATTTTAGATTTAGGATTTTTTATATTATGTATGAAACGTTTAATATAAGCAACCGAATTTTGTAATCGATTAAGATTTGAAAACCGCTCCATTTCTATTATCGCATTCTTTACGTCGATTGATGCAGCCACGAGTTTTAGTTCAGGTAAATTATTAATATTGTTATGTTTCAAGACTGGCCAATCATCTTCATCCTTTAGTAAAAAATTAGGTCCCTTCCACCACATATCTGTATTACGTAGCTGACTGGCGCTCACACCACGTGAAATTAAATCAGCAGGATTTTCTGCAGTAGGCACATAGCGCCAAGAAGAGGATTGTGAAAGTTCTAGAATTTCACCTATTCTGTTGGCGACAAAAGTCTTTAACCTTGAAGGGTCTCAACCACCCCAACATGACACTGGAATCGCACCAATGCAACATTCGCTTAGGAGTGTACCGAATTGATTCTGTAACTGTCTTAGATAATCGAGCTGCAAGAAGAGCCGCACAGAGTTCCAGCCGAGGTATTGATGTTGGTTTTAATGGGGCTACTTTTGATTTTGAGCACAATAAATTAATAGTTACTTCACCGTTAACACCTATACATTTTACGTACACACATGCACCATATCCTACCTGTGATGCATCACTAAAAGTATGAATTTCAATGGATTTTGGAGTGACACATCCGACATATCTACGAACTTGCAAAGTGGAAAGAATTGATAACCCTTTAGTAAATTCCTCCCATTCGGCCTTAATCTTCTTAGGAACGGGTTGATCCCAGCCAACCTTTAATTGCCAAAATTTTTGAAGTATTAGCTATGGTTGCATTATAGAAGGGCTCAAAATTCCCAAGGGATCGAAGATTTTAAATGCATTAGACATGATAAAACGTTTTGTAATTATTTTATTACGTAAAGGTACATTTATAGGGAAATGTAAAGTGTCATTATTAGGATTCCAACCTAGACCGAGTGGCGGCGCGGGTGAAATAAATATTGTTTGATTTTGATTTAAGTGGACTGTATCTAAATAATCTGACGGGTACGTGGATTGACACGATACACTGTTAGGTTGGTGATTGAGAACTGCTTGTGAGGATGGAACACAAAGAAAGACAGTTCTGGTAAGGAAGGAGGCACAGTACCTTTGAATTGTAGGTTGCAGTGCGGCGGCTATCGGTGTCTCCAGGTCCCAGCGACTTGCTTCACAACAATGGCACAAACACAATGGTCTTAAACACACTAGAGCGATGCGGTGGATTAAAATGTTTAGTAATTATCACGAATTACAAAAAACTTGATCTTAAGCGCGATCAAGGCGGGAATTCAATGTCAACTTCAGCGTTCAATTTTACAGTGACGCGCGAGCGCGATATGTCACTTTCGATACAAGCGAATCTTCTCGCTCGCACTTAAAACAAAGGTATGTGCGGGAATAGGAGAGGATAAAGGAATTAGTGTAGTGCCAATCCTTAGAAAATTAACGTTTCGTACCACGCTAAATTATTTATTTGAACAAACTATTACTAATAATAATTATACAATGATAAACAAAAATGTAATGTTATATGGCGCAACCATTCCCCCCCGCCTTTAAGGGACGCCTTCAAAGTAAAAATAGAAACTTAAAATAAACTAAACCTTAACCTAGAACTCGTATTAACTAAAACTAATGTCTAGGTAAGGGGCACAGACGTACAACCGGGCGCAAATAAGAGCCGGTTGCAGTTTTTACACGAACAACTCGAATTACGCCGTCAGAAGCCGGAAAGACCTCTTCAATAACCCCTAAAGGCCAATGAAGTGGTGGCGCGTTTTCAGTACGTACAATTACAACAGTTCCGACAGTAATCTGATTGACGGGCGTATTCCATTTTTCGCGAGATTGTAATGTGTGCAGGTACTCCGCTCTCCATCGCTTCCAGAACGTTTGCACTAATCTGTCTAATAATGCGTGGCGTGAAATCAAAGAACTGTCAGCTATTTCTGCGGCGGGCAAATATTTCAACGGAGTAAAATTTAAAAAATGTGCGGGTGTTAGTGCAAGCGGCTCTGACGGATCATTAGATAAAGTCCGACATAATGGTCGAGTATTCATGATTGCCTCTACTTGCGTGAGTACCGTAATCATTTCCTCAAATTATAAAACTTGAACCCCAACGACCCTGAACAAATGCGTTTTCAAACTTTTTATATTAGTCTCCCAGTTACCTCCGAAGTGACTAGCAGCGGGAGTGTTGAGAAACCAAGTCAGGCGGTTTTCTGACAAGACGTGCGCAAATTCGGTGTTAAAATGTTTAGAGCTCAAAAATGCGTGAAGTTCCGAAAGCGTGCGTTTTGCTCCAATATAATTAGTGCCATTATCAGAGTAGATATGAGCTACAGGACCACGACGAGATAAAAACCGTTTAAAAGCTGACATGAAACTTGCTGTACTTAAATCTCCTGCCAATTCTATATGGACGGCGCGGGTTGTTAAACAAACGAATAAACAAATATAAGCTTTAGTAGACCGTATGCCACGACCACGTGTTATAGTTATTTTGAAAGGACCAGCATAATCGGTACCTGTGTGCATGAATGGTTTTAATGTTTCAAGAACACGACAGGGTTTGTGATCTGACATTTCTGGAAACGTCGATTTCGGACGAAGTTTAAAACAAGGTACACATTTGTGCACTCTGTGGCGAATCAAGTTGCGGGCAGATAAAATCCAATATTTCTGCCTTAAAATAGACATCAGTAAATCAGGACCAGCATGACAATTAACTTTATGGTGATAGTCTACTAATAAATCCAATATATGATGTTTCCGGGGAAGAACAATAGGGTGTTTCTGATCAAAATTCAAGTTCGAATTTCTCAAACGACCACCGACTCTAATTATACCTTCTAGAATGAAGGGTTTGAGTCGCTGAAGTGATCGGGAACAAAATTTTCCATTTTGTAAATTGTTAATTTCCCCATGAAAATACAAAGCCTGTAATTCTCGAAGGATTACAAGTTCTGCGTAATCTAAATCTGCTGCGGTTATGAATTTTAGCGGGGTTAATAATTTTGCGAAACGACAGACATAAACTACGCAGCGAAGAAGCTTGGACCAAGAAGAAAAGCGATTTGCCAGAGCGATGAAAACAGATTCTTCTGGCGGTGTACGAGTAACAAAGGAGAGTTTCTTCTCCTCAGGCGGGTCCATAACAGCAGAAGGATTGAAAGTGGTGACTGGCCATTCCGAAAAGGTGGATTTAGCCCACTGCGGGCCGTTGAACCATAGGGGGTGGTGAATTATTTGGGCAGGAGTAAGCCCTCGCGATAGACAGTCGGCTGGATTGTCCGAACCAGACACGTGATAAAAATTATGCGGTGAAAGCAGAGATTGAATTTTAGAAACTCTATTCGCGACAAAAGTATCCCACCTGTGGGGCGATGCGTGGATCCAACATAAAGCAACTGTTGAATCAGAAAATGCGTGTATTGCCTTAATTGGATAGCGGTTGTTAACAGCGGTAACAATATTATTAATTAAATTAGCGAGCAAAAGCGCTGCGCAAAGTTCGAGTCGGGCCAACGACACGACCTTGCGGGTGCAACCTTAGATTTTGCACTTATAAGATGCACAGTACTCACACCATCATTCTCGACGTGGAAGTACACAACAGCACCATAAGCCTTTTCACTAGCGTCTGCGAAGCCAATGATGTTCACCACACTGCGTTTTGTGATGTCAACATGGCGCGGTAATTTAATTTGATCTAGACTGGGGAGCTCATCCCTGAAACGTGATCATTGTCTGACGATAACTTCAGGGGGGGCGTCGTCCCAATCGCAGTTGCATAACCATAACTCTTTGACAAGAAGTTTGGCAAATAATATAACGGGTGCTACGAAACCCATTACATCCCACAATCTTGCGACACAAGATAAAATGGTGCGTTTTGTACACTTTTCAGCGGGCGTGCAAATTTTTAAACTAAATAAATCAGAGCTAGGAGACCAGCACAGACCCAGAATTTTATGCGTATCAGACACATCGAATTCTACGACCGACGAAAGTCGATGTGTTGACGGAATGGAATTTAAAACTACTTGCGAATTGCTCGTCCATTTGACAAGATCAAATTGTCCGGCCTTCATGAGTGAGATGATCTCAGCAGCTGTGACGATAGCCTCATCTTCACTATCTAGACAATATACTAAATCATCCATGTACAGACCGGTGTGAACCGCTTCCTTCGGTTTTGGGAACGATTCGCCTTCGTCGGTGGCTAACTGCTTAATAGTACGCAGTGCAAGAAACGGACTCGATTTGAGTCCAAAACAAACGCGATTAAACTGATAAACCTGGAGAGGTTCGTCAGGCGAAAATCTATACAATATGCGTTGAAATCTGCGGTCACTCTCTCGAATACGAATGCAAAGAAACATTTGCCTAATATCGGCAGAGAGAGCTACTGAAAATAATCTGAAGTTAACTATAATATCAAATAAATTGCGTTGTAAATTCTGTCCATTATAAAGAAGATCGTTGAGAGATACGGACGTGCTAGTTTTAGCGCTAGCATTGAGTACGACGCGCAATTTAGACGTGAGTTTATCTTTTCGAATAACTCCATGGTGCGGTATTATATACGAAGGAGCATTACTATCATCATTAACGGGTGCGGGTGAAATATAACTCTTATCTAAATACTCCGTAATGACGTCATCATAGGCTTGCTTGAGTTCAGGCGAAGCCTGCATTTTGCGTTCGAGACAAAAGAAACATTTCTCGGCTAATCGACGCGAGTCGCCAAGAGAATGTGCATTACCCTTGAAGGGAAGCGCGACGGTATAACGACCGTCGTCCTCGCGAGTGGTAGTGCCAGCATAAATAGCTTCACACTCCTTGTCGTCCGGGCTGAGAATCGGTGCAACATTCACCTCTTCCATTTCCCAGAATCTACATAGAACGGATTCCATCGTGGGTTCGGTAACACAACAATGCGCGGTGGTAGTGTAATAGAAATAGAAATAGAAATAGAAATAATCTTTATTCAAATAAACTCATTACAAGCACTTTTGAATAGTCATATTTTGATTCTACCACTCATTCGGAATGCAGATTCATCACAAGAAGAATGAGCAAGAAACTTGTGTGTTGCTCTTTTTAATAGATGTTTTTTTTATAGAAATAATTACAGTATAACAAGTAAGAGGCATGCGATAATCAACATAGAAGTCGCTACGCACTCATTATTAATGTAATCAGATAATATTGTCAGTGCTATGGATTTAAAGTTTTTCTATAAAAACATTATTATCGTTAACGAATTCTTCAATTTTATAGTAAGCTTTTTGCAAAGGAACTGTTTTATTTGACATTTAAATCTTTTTTCTGGCAGATTTATAACAGACTCTGGTATTTTATTGTAAAACCTTACGCAATTGCCATAAAACGAATTACTAACTTTAGCCAAACGACATTTAGGTAAAATTAGTTTGTTATTGTTACGTAAGCTTTTATTAGTGCAATCACTAACTCTTTTGAAACTGTCTATATTCCTTCTGGCATAGATGATATTTTCATAAATGTATTGAGAAGCAACGGTGAGGATATTTGATTCCTTAAAACACTCTCGCAATGACTCCCTGGAACCCATACCATAAATGGAGCGAATGGCCCTCTTTTGTAAAGTAAATATTGTATTTATATCAGCTGCTTTGCCCCATAACAAAATACCATACGACATAATGCTATGGAAATAGCTAAAATAGACAAGTTTAGCCGTTGCCACGTCTGTTAATTGTCTAATTCTTCTTACCGCATAAGCGGCAGAACTAAGTCGACTCGCCAATTTAGTAATATGAGCACCCCATTGCAACTTGGAATCTAATGTGATACCTAGAAATACAGTATCGTCAACAAAATTAATAGATTTATTGTCCAATACGATTTTTGAATCTACCGGCCTTACATTGGGGAGAGTAAATTTGATACATTTAGTTTTATTTGCATTTAGTAGCATATTATTTGCCGTAAACCATTTTAAAACATAAGAGAGAGAACCGTTTACTTCGTCCATATCATCAATATGTCGATTGACTTTGAATACTAATGAAGTATCATCAGCAAACAGAACTATGTCAGCTATCTTTTCTACCATATAAGGAAGATCGTTTATGTAAACTAAAAATAAGAAAGGACCCAGAATAGAGCCCTGAGGAACACCCATTTTAATACTAGTTCCCTCAGACTTTACACCATTTATTTCAACAACTTGCATTCTATTATTTAGATAGGATTTCATCATGCATAGTGCTTCATATCTAATACCGTAATGTTCTAATTTGAGTAAGAGTGTTTCATGATCAACGCAATCAAATGCTTTTGAGAGGTCACAGAATACACCGATAGCATCCTGAGACCTCTCCCAACAGTCAAAAATGTGTTTCATTAAAGCTACACCAGCGTCAGTAGTTGATTTACCAGCTGTGAAACCAAATTGCCGACTGTGAAGCAGTCTATTTGTTTTAAAGTGTTGAAGCATCTGATTGAGCATAATTTTTTCAAACACTTTACTTAGTACTGGTAAGATAGAAATGGGCCTATAATTACCTACTTCAGTTTTATCCCCTAACTTAAAAAGTGGAGTTATTTTGCTATGTTTCATTAAATTGGGAAAAACACCGTCAAAAATACATTTATTGAAGATAGTTACTAAATATGGAGCAATAACATCTATAGCGGTGTTAATAACTTTAACAGACATGCCCCAATGGTCTTCAGTATTTTTTAAATTTAATTGTTTAAATGTTTTCGTAATTGTAGCAATGTCAATAAATGTAAATCTAAATGTAACCGGACACGAAGCAACATTGTCAATAAGGAATGATTTAGCTGTACTTGGAGAAGAGTCCAAAGAGGACGTAATATCAGTTGGAATACTAGCAAAAAATTTTTCAAAAATATTGACTATTTCTTTCGTGGACGTTACTAGTTTATCATTATAATTTAACGTAAAATCATTATATGGACTTTTAACTTTGCCAGTTTCTTTATTAATAATATTCCACACTGTCCTAATCTTATCCTTGGATTCTTTAATTTTTTTATTTAGATAATTAGACTTTGCTACATTACATACCTTTTTAAAAGTTTTTGAGTATCTTTTTACATAATTTACGAATGTACTATCGAAACGGTATTTTTTTTGATCATATAAATCAAATAATATATTTCTACTTTTATGAATTCCCTTTGTAGCCCATTCTGAAAATTTTGTTTTGTTACTAATACTGATAGTTTTTTTGTTAAAAGCCTTATTATATTCGTAAGAAACAATATTGAAGAAATCTGTATAAAGTTTGTTAGGTTCATCAGATTGAGGACAAAAATCTAATTTACTACGAACTGATATTTTAAATTTATTTATCTTATAACCAGTCAAGTCTCTTTTTAATAAATTAATTTTCCTAATTTTGTTTACGTGATTTGGAAAAATTACTATTTGACCACAGTGATCAGAAGGAAGGTTGTTTATTATTATTTTATCTAAATATTCACTGTTGCTAAATATGTTATCCAAACAAGTAGCAGACGTGGCTGTGATACGAGTGGGTTCGTGGAAGACATTACTCAAGTCAAAAGATTGAAATAAACTCATTAATTTAGTTTTTGTGGTGTTATGTGATAAAATGTCAACATTGAAATCACCACACACTATAATTTTTTTGTTAATATTAAATACTCTTTTTAAAATATCCTCCATTACCTCTTCAAATAAATTATAATCACTATTTGGAGGTCTATATACACACATAACTATATAATTTTCTAGTTCCACACAGGAAATTTCAATACAACACTCAACGGAAAGATTGCCAATATCACTACGTTCTTTTACTTTTATATTATTTTTCACCAATATCATGGAACCTCCTCTATTTACTATTTTTCTATTAAAGCAGCTGACAATATTATAATTATTTAAGCTTAACATCATATTGCTCACTTTGAGCCAATGTTCAGTTAAACATAGTACATCTATATTATTTTCTTCTATTACTTACCGATACTTCCGTGTCTAATATGTTAGATAATTACAATTATCTAACATATTAGACACGGAAGTATCGGTATTTGATCTAGCGGGAGCTGAACCTACAATAACAAAGCCTAATACGGTCTCAATAGCATACGGCGAGACGTATGCGCGTTGACCTTTAACCTTACGGGACAATATTAAATGCGGGAAAATTGAGGCACCGATTAACATGTCAATGTTCCCAGGAGTAGCGTAACTATCATCGGCTAAAGGCAAATTTTTAAAATTTGAAAATAATGAAATATCGACACTAACAGTCGGTAAACGTTCGGTTATTTTATCTACAACTAAGGATTCCATATCAAATTTAATATTACGATTAAACCGTGAAAAGAATTTTATATGTACAGAACCCTGTGTGGCCTTTGTTGTCCCTCCTATACCTTTAATCGAAAAGGTTGTATTCTGTATACATTGCAATCCCAAGCGATTACAACAATCCCTAGTTACAAAATTACTTTGAGAAGCACTGTCCAATAATGCTCTAATATAATGTTCGTTACCGTCTCTATCGATCATTAAAACACGAGCGGTGGCTAACAATACGGTAGTAGGTACGCGAGGCATATTTTTATTAACATTGTCTGATAACGTGCATAATGCTACGTCTTCCGATGCGCGGGATACGACGGGTGTCGGCGGGGGTGAGTGCGGGGCGCGGTCCGTGCAAGGAGCCGGTCGGCCGCCGCCGCCGCCGCCAACAGCGGGCTGCGTGTGCGACGAGTGCGACGATAGATCCACTGCGCGTGACGTAGTCGCTGTGACCAAACTACCACTGAGTATGTTCGCGGTGGAGGTGGCATTACTATGCTCAAAGTGGAGCATAGTATGATGTTTTGAGTTACATTTGTGACATCGACTATTTGAGTTACAATTAAATACACGGTGATTTTTACTTAGACAATTAATACAGTAGGAATTAGATTTAACAAATCGGAAACGATCATTAGGCGTTAAATTTCGAAAACCTGGACATTTATATAAATGTTCATGTTGTATGTTACACAATGAGCACTTAGGCTGCGGATTAGCGGTTGTAGTATAAGAGTATGTAGATTTATGTTGCATAACTTTCGATGCCGCATCCATACGACGATCGACAACTTTCTTAGTAACTTCTTGGTTGCTTGAAGAAGTGCGTTGCAATATTTTAATGTGATCGCGCACAAATGACACTAATGTATCGAAAGATGGGATGTCGGATCCCCGTTTATCTAGTTCGAAAGCGCGGGCGGTTTCGGAATCTAATTTCTTTAACGCGGTATACAAAAATATAAAATCCGAAAGATTATTAATTTTTAAGTTATTTAACGCGGATACTGAAGTTGCGAATTTATCGAGAAATTGTTCTAAATTATTTATATTTGATGAATGAAAGGGCTTCATTTCGAATATTTGATCTAGGTATGATGATGCGAGCAGTCTCTTATCTTCATACTTACTAATTAAAGCATCTAAAATAACCTTATAATTTTCAGAACAAGGGTTTATACCGGCAAATACAGAACGAGCTTTACCTGTCAGTTTACCCATCAAATAATGTAATTTTTCCGAATCTGACAATCTAGGATTGTCATGAACTATGCTTTTGTAAGCTGTATAGAATAAAGACCAGGATCTCAGATCTCCTGAGTTGGTAGGGGGGGCAGACGAGGCCTGTCCTCATCCCTATTATGCTGATGATGTTTGACATCAGGCGGTACCTCTAGCGATCTTGCGGCTCGTTTTATATGGCAATACAAATCATCAAATGCCATGAGCGGTTGATAATTAATAACATATTTAGGATTCAATTTAGATTCTAAAGTATTTATTTTATCTAACATAGTTTCGAAATCCGAGCGT